ATTTATGTATGTATATATATGTGTGTGTGTAGTATTTTGATTTTTAAAAGATTTTTTTTAGAGTTTTTTAAAACTTTACATGCTTTAAAAGTTTTACAGAAAAGTTGTTATGCTTTTAGAATTTTACAAGTTATATTTTCTGTTTTTAGTTTAAAGTATAAAATACTGTTTGAAAATTCACGTGTTATCAAATATATATTTAATTTATATATTTTACTTTATAAATATGTGTGTGTGTGTATTATTCACATTTTTTAGTGTTCATACAAATTTTCATGTTTTAAAGTATATATTTAATTTTGTACATAAATTAAATATATATTATTTTCAACATACATATATTTTTTCAATCATTTATCATGTTTCTACATACCTAGCCTAGAGGATGAGAGTTTTGCCCCACCAAAGAACTTCTCGAGGTACCCTATCATATGTCTTTTGTAAGTTGCCTTCTTCGGCAACTTATGGAGAAGTATAGAGACGTTCATAAGGATCTGCATTTAGTGTTCATTGACTTACAAAAGGCAAATGATAGGGTACCTCGAGAAGTTCTTTGGTGGGCCTTAACTAGGAAAGGCATATCACGCAAGTATATCAGCATCATCATGGATATGTATGATGATTGTACTACAAGTGTCCGTAGTAGTGTAGGGAGGATTGAAGAGTTCCCTATTACTATCGGAGTGCACCAAGGATCGGCCTTGAGCCCTTTCTTATTTGCCATAGTCATGGATGAACTTACGAAGTCAATTCAAGACGATATACCGTGGTGCATGATGTTTGCCGACGATATTGTATTGATTGATGAGACATAATCAGGTCTTAAAACAAAGTTAGAAGTATGACGACAAACATCGGAGAATAAGGGTTTCAAACTAAGTCGGAGCAAGACAGAGTACATGGAGTGCAAGTTTGGTGAAGGTAGAATCAGTGGTAAAAGCGGAATTACTCTGGATGGTAAGGAGATATCAGTCAGTGATATGTTCCGTTACTTGAGCTCCATAATTTAGAAGGACAGTGAGTTAGATGGAGATGTATCCCATAGAATCATAACAGGGTGGATGAAGTGGAAGAGTGCGTCAGGATTTCTATGCGACCGAGGTATGCCGACTAGACTGTAGGGTAAATTTTATAGGACAGCAATTAGGCCTGCATTAATGTATGGCGTAGAGTGTTGGGCGGTGAAACAATGTCACATTCAAAAGATGAGTGTGACAGAGATGCGCATGCTGCGTTGACTGTGTGGACATACTAGGAAGGACCGCGTGAGGAATGAGACAATCAGACAAAGGGTGGGAGTAGCACATATTGAAGACAAGATGCGGGAGTCGCGTCTACGGTGGTTTGGTCATGTGCGTAGAAGACCGAGTGATGCACATGTCAGACGAGTTGAGATGTGTAGAGAAGAGGCAGGGAAGAGAGGGGGAGGAAGACCCAAACAGACGTGGGTTAGGGGAGTTCGAAGTGATATGTTTCTTCTGGGGTTGGATGAGGGTATGACTTTGGAGAGAACTAAGTGGAGGGCGGGTATTAACGTGAAGGAGTGATCTCGTGTAATCTTTTTCCCTCATCTTTTTTTTTCCTTGTTTTTTATCCTTATATGTATATAAGCATTATTTGTAGCCTTTTTATTTTATCTTTTTTATGTATATTCATCTCTTTTTATATTATCATTTTATAATAGCTTATGTTTTTTATCTTTATTTTTTTCTTTTCCTTTTGGTTGTGATATCATGTATCGATTAATGTTAGCCGACCTCAATATCTTTTGGGACTAAGGCTTGGATGTTGTTGTTGTATTTATCATGTTTCTGTTTTATACATTATTTTTGAGTTTATTATGTTTTTTAGTTTTAGTCTCTTTAGGTTTTTAAAATATTTCAATTTTTTATATTTTTAGTAATTTCAAAAACAAGTTTCATCTAAGTATCGTACTTTTATATGTAAAATATTTAATAGGTATAATCATTTTTTAAATTTATAATTTTACTCTTTTTTCATTTTGATGTTAGAAATTGTATAATTTCCTTGTTTTTGGATTTTTTTTATTACTTTGTTTGTTTTTCTAATAATTTTCATGTTTTAGAGTTTTAATAAACTTTTACAATTTTCCATTTGAAACAAACTTGAATTAATTCTTGCACGTTGGATTAGTTTATCAAGGAGGGGGTAGTTACGTTGTTTCAGAAGTTGGGTGCTAGGTGTTACGTGCATTTATAAGATAAAGAAGTTCCAGTAGGTGTGACTCGTCCCGGTGGGTCTATTTTTGAAAAGTAATGTCGGTGAAGTCTATTTTTGAAATACACATTAAAAATATGAAAAGGTGATATCATTTTAACTTTGTGCTTATTTGTGAAGTTTTCCCGATGACAAATTGTCAATCAAACATTCAAGTGAGTGAAAGTTTTGGGCCGGGCCCGAGTCGTGTCCGGGCCGGGCCCTGGTCGGATTGACCCATCCCAATCCATCCCTAGTTTCACTCACTTCAATGTTTGATTGCCAAATTGTCATTCTAACTCAGACCATATTGATTTTAATTTTGACCAATTTCACTTGGTCCGTTCTTACCATTTTGGCCATTTTCTCGTTTAAGTTAGGGTGGACATATTGATTTTGTTTAATCGAATCAAACCGTATCAAACCTAATTAGCTTGAACCGTAACAAAACATGTGTAATTTGATTTGAGTTAGGTAGCATTTCTTCCCAACCGTATGAAACCGATCCGAGACCGAAAAACCAAAATAAAACCGAACCAAATTAAATCAATTTAATAGAACTTTTATACTACTCTCGTTCTTTATTAACTGTCTCACATTCCTTTTTGAACCGTTTTTAATTATTTGTTCATCTTTCCTTTTTTAGTAAGTTTTTCAATTATAATACCTTTTTACCCCCACTTTAATTACTCTTAACCCTTTCTCTTTCCTACATTATCATTTAAACAAAAATCATTGCACATTTTACATTATTCTTACTATTTTCCCCTTAAGCCCATGCCAAAACATAAGACACTTAATAAAGAACGGAGGGAGTATATTAGTTAAAATTACTCGGTAACAAATACAAATGAAACTAAACCGAATCAAATCAAATAAAAAAGTACTCCCTCCGTTCCTAATTAAAACTTCCATTTTCCCTGTCTAGTAAAAAAATTGTTGTTCACAATATTTCTTACACATTTCTCTCTCCTCTGCGCAACTCTCCACCACACAATACCTACTATCTTAAATTGTGTGCCAAACCTATTTGGAAGATAAAATAGGAACGAAGGGAGTATGATTTTTGTTTAATAATGGAAAAAAACCGAACAGGAAATGTCACCCCTAGTTTAAGGTAGGGGTGGGCATTTCGGTTATTCGGTTCGGTTTTCTTCAGTTTCGGTTCGGTTTCGGTTTAATCGGTTTGATAAAAAATGTACCAGATACAAATCGATTAAGTTTCGGTTTGGTTTCGGTTTGGTATGATTTTGTTCGGTTTGGAGTTCGGTTTACCAAAGTATTAAGGTTTGGATTGGGAAAAAAAAATTAACTCAAAATAATGAACCAAGAAGTGATAGTAATGAACCAAATATAATGTTAGATATAAATTTGCAAACAGTAACAAAACACATATGAACCAAAAATATATAAGCATGACGAATTTGTATGCAACAACAACGAGAATGAATTAAATTATATATAAAGCCGAAACAAAAACAAAATTGGTGCTTGTAATAAGTAATGAACCAAGTATACAGTAGTAGTAGCTAATAAATTATAGTTAAATACTATCTACTTAAACCACTATAATTGATATAGTTGTGAATGTAACTCTTGTAGTAAACTTTATAGAAATTAGTTCAAATAAGACTAAAACTATGGCAAAAACCTAAAATAGGACTTGCTATGTTTTTATTCCAAAACAGGACCATATGAGTTCTATAGGAAACATACCTATTTTTGCATTCCATTCTTACCCTTCCGTTAAATATGAATTAAAAATAGTCAAAAGCCATAATTAAATGTTTAATTCATAATAAATTCGAAAAAAATTCAAAAATTCGTAGAAATATAATTAAAAAATTTATAAAATTTTTATAAAATAAAAAATTCAAAAACTTTTTTTTAAAATAATTTTTTTTTAAAAAATTAATAAAAAATAGTAAAACTCCGTAAAAAAATTTTAAAAAATATGGATGCCTTTCCCACCGCCTGAACTACCTCCCAGCACCACCACCTTCGGCCGATGAAAAAAATGCCATTTTCCCAGAAAAATGCCATTTTTTTCTGAAAATGCCAAAAAAGAGGCATATTTCTCTTTTCGAATGTCAACATTTTCATTTTTTTCTTCCATAAATATGGCATTCGTAATGAACTTGGCATTTTTTCCCCTGGTGACTGGAGGTGGTGGTGCTGAGGCGGCAGAGGCGGCGGCGATTGTTTTTTTGATTTTTTTTTTAATTTTTTTTTTTTGAAAAAAAAAATAATTAAATTTTTAATATCGAAATGTTTTTCTTAATTTTTTAGTATTTTTTGCGAATTTTTATTATTTTTTATTATTTTATTTGGAATTAAAACATTTTAATAGCCATAAGGGTATAATTGTCCAAGGTACACATAATTAGTCCCATGCAAACATAGTTCATTTTTTGGTCCTATTTGTGAAAAGTGAATGACTTTTAGTCCTATTTTGATAATTAACTCTAAACTTTAGTCCTGGACATTAAAATTAAGGAATTAAAGCTTCAAAAAGATTAACATCAATCAAATTAATGAGAGAAATCTTTCATTTTGGTTTGGTTTAGTTTGGTGTAAGTTGGTTTTGATTTGTTATTTTAAAAAAATAAGATATTATTTCATTTTTAGATTAGTTCGGTTTTATTCGGTTTTATTCGGTTTGATGATTTTGATTCGGTTTGATTCGGTTTAATACGGATTGAGAGGAATACTAACAAACTCAAACCAAATTACAAATGATTCGGTTTGAGTTCGGTTTGGTACGATTATGGCACCGGTGGGTTAAAGGAGCAATTTTCTCTAGAAAAAAGGAGGGCGACTAATAGAGTAGGAGCAGACTCCGTCGCCGATTTCCAAACCCCCAAATTCATTTGAAACGCCCTTTTTTCTACTGCGTAATTATATACGCATTGAGCGGGTTAGTGTTTTTAGTGTCTATGTCTATATACAGTCATTATACACCCATCTCTCTCTTTCACTCTGTTTCTTGTTCAATCTACCTCGTCAAGAGCCATGACTTTGCCATCTTGCTTTTACTAACTTTCTTCGATTCCACTCGTATGTTGTTAATTATTTCATCATCTCGTTCCACACCCATAGCAGTGTGAGATTCTGAGAATCACAGCACCGGAGGACTGCCGGATATGAAAGCGCCGGTGAGGGAGGTAATGGATTCTGAAAGGGCGCAGCAATGGAGGTCAGTAGATTCCAAGTCCGATCGCCCTTTCAAGAAAATCAAAAGTTCTGCTCCGAATCTTTCTCCTCTGTTCGGGTTGGAAGGAGGAGGGCAGTCAATGGATAATTTACGGTTGCTGAATTTACAAATGCTCTCTTCCTCATATCAGCAGGGTGGCCCTTACCCACCTCCGCCGCCGCCGGCATATTTTCCCGGTGACCGGAACTCATTCCCGAAGCAACCCCAGAATAAGCTTCTGACTCGACCTCCTACAAAAGTGTACAGGGGAGTGCGGCAGAGGCACTGGGGGAAATGGGTAGCGGAGATTCGGCTCCAGAAAAGCAGGGCGCGCATCTGGCTCGGGACCTTCAGCACCGCCGAAGAAGCCGCCATGGCTTACGACCGGGAAGCTTATAAGCAGAGAGGAGAGAATGCTCAGCTCAACTTCCCCGAACTCTTTCTTGGCTGCAATGACCGAGATGCATCATCATCCGTGGGTCCCAGATCGTGTGAAAACACCGCGCCGGTGGTTTGCCCAACGCTGCCGCTTACGGCGGAGGTGGAGCCGCGGCCGCTGCTTAGCCAAACAGCATCTTCCGGTCATTCTTCTGAATATGTGTGGGCTGGTTTAGTACATGGAATCGGAGGTGGCTTGTTCTGAGGAATTTTAACTTTGGATAATTTATGTAGCAGTTAATGATAATAATATCATGATTTTCATCACCATGACACAAATAAGTCTTACTTTAATTTGAATCTAAGTTTAAGAAAGTGGAAGTGTATGGTTAAGGTCGAGTAAGAAAAAAGTAAAGTAATGTTAGTCACACAAAACTTTTCAAAAAGAGAAATGAGAACAATTTTTTAGAACGACTCAAAAAGGAAAGTGAGACTTATTTTATGAGACGGAGGTAGTATAATATTAATAGTAATACTAGCATCATGATATTAACAACCACAGTAACATTAATAATACTCCATCTTTAACATTTTAGCAGTGTTCACTTTTCTGTTATGAAGCTTTTTTTTGTACTCCCTATTAGTTATTCTCTTCATATTTGAAAACTTTTCTCTTTTAGTTGTATTGAGAGAAACTTAGATTAGTAATGACATTTGTGTAAGCATTTTGGGAATCGTATTCACTTGTTTAAGTGACCTGTTCAAATTCAGAGGTTTGGGTAGCATATGATACAATTTTGTGATGTATTATAAGTCAAGTAGATAATGACATTATTATCTTTTCATAGTTGTACCTTTCATTGCTAATTTGCTTGTATAACTTTATTACTCTTTCTTATTTCTTATACTATACTCCGTATCATATTTATTACTTCTATAACTTCAATCTTGATTTTAGTAAAATGTGCTACAACATCATGTGCTTCAACTTCATGTCATATACACTATCATTTAGAACTTGAGAGATACAATTATAAATTATTTGTGGGTCAATTCATGGTCCAATTTTGAAGACGGTAGATTGATGTCTTCACATGGAAGAGTAAATGTTGAGGTTCCAATGTGATGTAGAACGCGCTTGGCTGAGCAAATTGAAGCAGAGGTGGAACTTCGAAAAGGGAAGCGGGAACTATGCAAATTTGGCATGAGTGTCAAAATGAGCCTCATAGTAGTTTGGGTTTTAAATTTATGTTTTGTGCCTTTTTAAATTCTTACTTTCTCAGAATTTATTTAGTATTTAAGTCTGCTAATTACTTTGTTATGGATATCACACATTCCTGAATAAATACCATGGGCATGTTTACTACTCCCTTCATCCCATTGGACTTTGCCAACTTTTCTTTTTAGGTTGTCCCAAAAAACTTTGTCACTTTCCTATTAAAGCAACTAATTTGTGGTTATGCACATTTCTCTCTCCTCTGCACATCTCAACCACACATTTTTTATTCTCACCTACTTTGCACTTGGCAAAGTCCACTGGGATGGAGGTAGTAATAGAGATATTTTCCAGTTTTCTATTCTCCAGTTTTCTGTTTTCATTATCCAATTTTTCAATCTCCAATTTTCTAGTTTTATTTTTTTAGTTTTCTATTTTCAAATTTGAAAAATGTTCATAAAAATTTTTCACCTGATTCGTGATCGACCAGAAGACCGTAAGTACGATCCCATTCCGAAATCAAACGGCTGCCGGATCGTGGATCGGACCGGACAGGGGCATGAGGTAGTGGACCGGACTGGACGGGGAATCGCCAGGTCGTGGAACGGACAGGAGCCGTCAGGTCGTCGACCGGACCGAACCAGGATTGCTCGGTCGTTGACCGGATCGGACACGGACCGTTGGGTCCATGATCGGACCGGACTGTGGGGTCGTTGACCAGACCATGTGGGGAGCGCCGGATCGTTGACCTCATTTAATGCATTGGGGCTTGTAGCACACCAACAACGTATACTGGTTACTTTACCCAGTTATATAGAGCGCATATATCGAGTGACTAAAAAGGTCCGTAGTGTCAAGTAGCTTGTGATCCGATGACATTAGTGTTGATCTTTCAAAGAGAAAATCGCATGTTTAAGTCTTATGTCAATCAACCACACAATTTTTATTTCATTTTATTTTATTCCGTGTTCAAATCAAAGTAGACAATGTTGACTAGGACGGGAGATTAACAAATAGTACTCCGTATAAAAAATTAGGAGTACGTGACTAAAAGTAATCTTTCACTAAAGTTGGTGGAAAACACATGTAGTGACGTAAATACAAGGAAACTGAAGATTCAACGACTAAAAACGCATTAATCTATTTGCAACAAAAAATGCATTAATCTAATCCCACCGACACTTTTTGTGCTTAAGTCCATGTTCAGACAACTCATTTCATAATGTCTTGGTGATGTGGGTCCAACCATAATGTCTCTCTCCATATTATTGTTACGGAATTTGTTTTTTTTATAATCCAGGTGTCGGACTTACGCTCCCATAATCATTGAGTTTATGAACTACCCTCCAAAGCTTCTAGACAGTTAAATTCGAATCTGGTCACAGTCAGTCTCGTCATTACAGGCTCCAAAGGACGAATCCAGCAGGACTTACATCACCTTTCAGGCTGCTCCTCCCATCACACGAACCCGCTACCTCCATTACCATCCTCTCCCTCCTCATCCGGTGAGCAACTCCGTGAAGGTAGGAAGAATCATTGGAAGCAAGAAATCCCTCATCTTCCCTTGTGATGGGAATTGAACCCAAGAACTCTTACAAAGGAGAGACTTGGGGATGGATGGTCATCCAATGGACTACACCCACCTTCCCCGTTACGGAATTTGTTGTTGACGAGGATGGTACACAAGTGGCCTTCGTCAAAAAAAGCCATCAAATAAAGAGTCGTACATCCATGGCAAGGCTAGATTTGGACTCGCTCAAGGAGGCCCATAAAGATGCACCGGGCATCACCTTCACCGATCCATGCATGGTGGCTCTTCCCGGAGTGAAACGTATCAAGACATTATCAAAAAAGGATGTACAAAAAGGTTTTTCGGTTTTTTCACCTGTTATGCACATTTAATATACACAGATATACTAACCCAACAAAGCAACAATATCTCCATCATAATATAAGGTCTTTTTTGTCATTCTTCCGACTCAATTAATTGCAATGACATTTCTTCCCGGAGACTAAATTAATCTCAATCAAATTCCTTCTGAAGTAGTACGTAAAGAAGAAATACTAAGCAACAAATCTGGCTTATACTCATGATGACCGATTATCTAAAAAAGAGGTCATTTAGGTAGTCTAAAACTCTAAATAAATACTCTTGTTCCAATTTTTTTTTATGTGTATCATGAATCTCAACACAATTCTTATAAAAATGTAATGCTAGTTTTACATTTGTTGGATGCATTTTTTATGACCTGTAATGTTAGATCATCCAATGAATAGATGATAAATTGCAATGTATACAAAAAGTTACTAACAAATTTAGACCAAGATTTATTGCTAAGAAAATAGACCAAATTAGTAGTTTTTTTTTTATTTAAAGCGGAAGTATTTTAGGAGAAAGAAATTTGAATGGGACAATGTGAGAAGTAAAAAAGTATACTACATAAATAATAAATTCGAATGGGATCATGGGAGGTATTTCAATTTTCAAGTAGCAACTGTTGAAAAGTTTATCATGAAAGCTCCATAAATTCTAAAGTAAAATGCAAGTCAATGCCGTATATAATATATATCAATAGGCAAGTGAAATGTCTTTTTGAATTTTGTAGGGGTCGAAAAACCGAATCGAAACCTGGAAACCGACCCTAGCCCGGCCCGAATGATATTCCCGGTCCGGGTTTTTTCTATTTAACCGGCCCGAATAAAAAAAACCCGGACTGAACCCGAAAATTCGGGCTCATAAACGGGTCCTAAAATTTATAACCCGGTCCAGACCGATAAAAACCCGAAACAATTAGCTTTAATATAAAATCAATATATTATACAAATATAATATATAAATAATTCCTAATATGTGATTATAATCACGGTGGATGAAAACATGACCTAGTAACTTTTAGTGACTCAAAATATGTTCAATTTGTTTACCATAATGACCATGGAATTATAATTATTATAGTAAATTTAGTCACTTTTTATCCATAAGTTTTATTCCGTAATATTTTTAGAATATTTTTAGAAAACCTATATTATTTATTTATATGCATCTTAAACAAAATATTAAGATAATTATCTTCTTTGGATTTGAATTGTTGGTGATTTTGGAGACTATTATTTGTGTTATTATTTGCGGATTGTGTTTTTTGGTTAATTTTATTTAAAAATAGGTTTTAAAATATAAAAAAGACGATGATATGATTTCACATTCGGGCTTTAACCGGCCGACCCGAACCCGGACCGAACCCGGTCTATCAAAAATCCGACTCAGACCGAACAAGCCATTTCACATCCCTACATGTTCATCTTTCTTCTTTCGAATTCAAAATTTTGAACCTTAACAAGATCTAATTGACAGGCTTTGCGTTGATATAAACTTCACTTTTTTTAGTTGGGAATCTCATAAAGGAGAATTCTTGAGGGGAAATGGAGATGGAAATTTCTAATTATAAATTGGGGAGGAACAATAAATACAAGAGGATGGATGAGTATAATGGTGCTGTTGGAGGTACTGGTCCTACCAAGGCCTCCCTTCCACTTTATTTGTTGAGGCTTGCACCCTATGTTTTACTCCCACTTTGGTACCTTTTACCTTGGTATATTACCTGATCAATAATATACCTGTTGACTTCTTAATTACATGGCTTTGGCCCCTTGTGCTGTCCGCTGCGGTACCTGCCCCTTGTCTTGCTATACCCGTGAGCTTCTGTCTTTGTTAGCCTCACCCGTGACTTCCCTTGGCAGCCAATTTGTAGTCCTTTGTTTGCCCCTTTGAGTTAAGCCTGCAGAACATTTGAGAGCAGTGTCTTCCTTCTTCCTCCTTGCTTGAGAGTTCCTTTGTGGTTAGAAGAAAAGAGCAAAGAGAATAGGTGTGTTATAGCCTCCCCTACAGTGGTGTATGTGAGTATAGTGGAATAGACCTGAGTCGGAGATGGAATACGATCCTAACAGTGGTATCAGAGCCAAAATCGTCGTCTGCCGCCGCCGCCATCCGCCGTATGCCAGGTTGGAGCTCGCCGCAGGTCCCTGAAGTTGCCTGGTCATTCGCACGAGCTCGCTGGTCTTCCACCGTGATCCTGCTTGTTGAAATCAAGCTCACCGGAAGCTGAAGCCTACACCGCTGGAAGTTCAGCCGTCTCCGGAAGCTCGCCGCCGCAGGGAGTTGCTCGCCGATTTGTTCGTCGCTGGAGCTGCCGCCTACCATCGTCGCTGCAGGCCACCATTGCTGCGAAGCTGGATCTGGTTGTTGGTCTGAACCTGCGCACATCGCTAGACGCTAGGAGTTGAAGCCCCGCCATCCGTCCGCCTGGAAATCGTCACCGGAGCCGTCGTTGCCGCAACCATCGTCGTCTGGGTGTTCGTCATTCGCAGAAGGCTTGGACCACCGTTCATAGCTCTGGCCGCAGAAGGCAGAGGGACGAAGCTGGGGCGTAGTATTGTTCTCTCGCGTAGAAGCATAGGACCTGAACTGATTATTGGGTTTCTCGCTTTGGGAGCTGCTAGATTGAAAGTTGGGCCTGGGCTTCTGGAGGTGCTGGATCAGGCTGTTGGGCTACCAAGCTGCTGGACCTGACTTGGACTGCTGGAGTTGCTGGAGCAGCTGGACGGCCGGGCACCGACGGTCAACGCCGGTCAACTCCGGTCAACGCCGGTCAAACTCAGTCAACAGTCCAAAAATCCCAATTTTTTAATTGGGTAGGTAAGGTCGAAACCCTCTCCTAGGGTTTCGCTAAGGTAAATTGGCGATAAACACCCTAGGTGCATCGGGTGCCTCCGGATTTAATTTATTCCCCCTCCCCGCGGGCTGCCGGTAGATTGTATCTCGGCCGCCAACCCCCCAGGTGCGTTTGCTAAACCCTATCCTTTGTGGCAGATTGTTTAGTTGTGTAAATTGAATTGCAAAGTGTTGTTAATTTCAATTCTTGTGCGTATGGGTGGTTTATTAGGTGTTAGGGGTAGAATTAATTAATCCTAATTGCTGCCCGAAGTTGTTTATGTGCCAAACTGTCCAAAATTGCTATTTGTTGCATGCTGCCCGTGGTTATTAAAGTAAAAAGCCCTATAGTATAATGGAGTCATTGTTGATAATTAAGATGCTATAGATGTGATATTTTTAATAATTGATGATCAAATTGTCATTTAAGAAACTTAATTATTTCTTAAAATATAAATAGAAATCTTTAGCTTGGACATTCAAATGAAGTACGAGCAGTTATTTGTGGTGGGCTATAGGTTATTCGGATTACTTGGGGAGTGCAATTTTGTTCACCCCAAAGGAGGGTGAACATCACCCCTTTCCCATTTGTTGCCATGTGTCTTCTTATCCTCTTTTTTCTTAATTTAAAATCATTGCAATGACATGTGGCAGCCCAATAGGGGTGAGGGTGATGTTCACCCTCTTTTGAGGGGTGAACAAAATTATATTTTTCTTCTGTTGTTTTGAAACATTTCTATTTGGAACATTTCTCTTGTTTTGATGGGCAGATGTTGGGGTTGTGAGTGGAGCAATCATATTTAGGGGTTTTTGGAACTGATTCTGTTTCTGCTTCTTTTTTCAAAGCAGAAGCAGAATCAGAATTAGTTTTCAGAAGGTGGTATCTCAAACTTCTAAAAAAACTGATTTTAGGAGTAAATTAGAGCAATAGAATCACTTCTTTATTTTCACCCAAACACTCCAACTTCTTCGGAAGAATCAGAAACAATTTTAAGAATAGATCCAAACGCTGCTTATTCGAAGATTTAAAGAATAGCTAAGTGCAGGTAGAAGTTCTAGTAGGCATTTTGAGCATCGTCTCACTTTTGGGTAGCTTAATCGGCAGAAGAACCTCAGACGCGATCGGCAGAAAATGGACAATGGGTTTAGCCTCCATTATCTTCCAATCTGGGGCAGCAATCATGGTCGTCGTTCCTTCCTACGCAGTACTGATGATGGGCAGATTTCTGGCCGGGATCGGAATCGTTTTCGGCGTCATGATTGCCCCCGTCTACATAGCCGAGATCTCACCAACCGTTGATCGAGGATCACTGACGTCATTCCCGGAGATTTTTATAAATCTGGGAATCCTTCTCGGTTATGTCTCAAATTACGCGTTTTCAGGATTACCGCCGCATATAAACTGGCGAGTAATGCTTGTTGTGGGAATACTCCCTTCCGTCTTCATAGCGCTTGCTCTGTGTGATTTGCGAAGATTCAGTTAGCTGCTGGGGTGGGGACCACAAGTGCTGATAAGTATGAGGAGAAATCGGTGTGGCGGGAGCTTTTGAGTCCTCCTCCTCCTCTTGCGAGGATGCTGATCACTGGTTTTGGAATCCAGTGCTTCCAGCAGATAATAGGTATTTTTTAGTTTTAAATTTTGTGATATGCCCATCAATATGGTAAAAGTTGAGTGCTCTTAATATTAAGACTCAAACCGTAAGAAGTTTGCCAGATTTTTCAGTAACACTACTTCAATACAATGATAATTTTCTATAAGAAAAAGAATAATGTGTCAATGAAAGGCAAAAGAGTAATGCGAGAAAGTACAATGTCAGAGAAGTTCAATTGAAGAAGCTACTCACAACTTTGGGATAGAGAAAATTTAGATGTGTGTGACTATCACACCTTTTGAGGGCCTTTTGAGTTCCATTCTAATAGATGAACTTGATAAGAAATAACATAAGGTCTTATATGTGAGTTTGTATTCTTTAATAGATGTCTTAACATGAGACCAACATGGTGGCTCGTCAAAACAAACTAATTTTGAAATATATGTTTTCTTTTTAGTCTTAGTTGGATCAAGTTGCTTGTTCGAGTGCATGACTTTCATATCATATTAAGACTTGAGTTACTTTCAATTCTTAAAGGAATAATTTGATAGATTAGTTCAATGCTATATATGTGAATCTGTATTTTAAAATTTGGTCAGATGAGATGATTTAATAGACCTAAAGTTAACATGGTCTTAGAGTTTAGTAGTTTACCAAGATTGATGTTTTTTGTGTTTGTTTTATTGCACCGATTGTGGAGTTCAATTGGTCAATGAGGATCATTTCAGGGTGTGTTGATTGTGTTCAATCTAATTTCTCACCTAAAGGGTGATTAGATTTGGAAATACATATCTCTTGTATAGTGGTGATATGGGGTTATATTTCTGGTGTGTGAAAAACTTAGCCTTCTAGCGCTAGTTGGTCTGGACATCACACAATATGAGTTTTATACTATTTGCAAACTTAATAAATTCGTAGAAGAGTTTGAAGCATGTCATCTTCTATGCAAGGTGATAGCTGGACAAGTTTTTTATGTGTGAAATTTTAACAGGTATTGATGCAACGGTTTACTACAGTCCAGAGATCTTAAAAGCGGCTGGTATTACTGGCGAGTCAAAACTCCTTGCGGCAACGGTGGCAGTGGGGATCACAAAGACGGCATTCATATTAATAGCTATATTCCTCGTAGACAGAGTAGGAAGAAAGCCACTTCTGTATGTTAGCACAACAGGGATGACGATTTGCTTGTTTGGATTGGGGTTTGCCCTTACATTTCTGAGTAGTGAAGGATCGCTTGGCATTCCAGCATCAATGTTGTTTGTTTGTGGGAACGTAGCGTTTTTCTCAATCGGTTTGGGCCCGGTTTGGTTGGTGTTGACGTCAGAGATATATCCGCTGAAGTATCGGGCCCAAGCATCCGCATTGGGGGCAGTAGGTAATCGGGTGTGCAGTGGGGTGGTTGCCATGTCATTCCGCTCTGTGTCACGGGTAATCACGGTCGGTGGAACCTTCTTTGTATTCTTGGCAATATCTGCATCTGCTGTTGCTTTCACATATATACTTGTTCCAGAAACAAAAGGCAAATCTCTAGAGGAGATTCATCTATGTTTCAAAACGAACAAGAAGGTGAAACACAACTTGGGGATGTTGAGCATCTTGTGCAGAAAGAGTGAGAGAGATTGGTCATTTGGGACTCTCTGTCCCAATTTACTTAGCCATCTTTGACTTTTTCATTCAAAGATGATAAACTTTGACCAATTATTTAAACTAATATATTTATTCAAAATTTAATAATTTTATACTTTTATGATAGTATTTTTAACAAAGAACATTTTCATATCATTTTCATATTATTAATATTTTCTCTAGATAAACATATAATCGATCAAAGTTAGACTCCATTGACTTGAAAAGTCAAGATTGACTAAGTAAAATGGGACGGAGGGAGTATCTATATATGTAATACTTGACATAGAAAAGGTTGATGGCTTGATGCAACATATGTGCTCAGGATATCACTGAATATATTCTTTTACACAAGGAGAGTCATTTTTGGGAAAAGGTACAAATAAGTCCTCGAACTAACCGAAAAAGTGCAAATCACCCCTTTTATAGGAGGCTTTCTTTGTCCGTCGACATTTGGGGCGGTTAACGGTGAAATTTTTTGATGATTTTTTTGGAGAATCTTCATCATTAAGTCTAGTTTATTCATACCAAATTTCAGGTAAAATTTCAACCGAGAAGGCAGCCAAATGATTTTCTGAAATATACTGCGCTCTTTAAATGCGCAGTTATCTTCAAACATTTATTTGACTGCCTTCACGATTGAATTTATATCTGAAATTTGGTATGAGTAAACTAGACTTAATGAAGAAGATGTTCAAAAAGTTTCATCAAAAAATGCCACCGGGAACCGCCTAAAATAGCGACGGCCGGACCCTCCAATAAAAGGGGTGATTTGCACTTTTTCGGTTAGTTCGAGGGCTTATTTGCCCATTTTTTCTTGATTATTAAAAGTAATACACAGTAACATTCTTTTAATCCATTCATCATTGCTTTAGCAACACATTCAACCGTTAACTTTATCTATTCTTCATGGAAGACTTATGTGTATGGATTTTATTCTTTACCTAAATATTCAACCAGGCCGGTGAACCATGTGCAACAATCATACCAAATATTGAAATCTGATGGTGTAAAACTGCTTTTATCATGGAGTGTTATCATCATTATTGTATATCTATCACTTGGTTTATATAAAAACCTAGTATGTATTGGTTCAAGGAAAACTCATGCTCAAAATTTGTCTTCCTATTATAACATCTAAAATCAGGATACTAATTTTCCTATTCATTTCATTTTTGGACAAATGACCCTCTTTTTGAAAAAAGAATAACCTCATGTACCAATCATGGTTAATTTTACAAAATGTTCCTCAATTCTTAAATAGCTGTCTCACGACTTAAAATAGAAGTGTAACTTTATTCGTCATAGCATCCACAATGGAAGATCAAGTTGGGTTAAAAAACAAAAGTGATGGGGGTTGACCCCCACTAAGGGAGATCAATGAAGTGCTCAATCAAATGGGAAGGTTAAAAATGAGTTCTGAGCAACCGTTGCGTGTAGCTCAACTGGTAGCAAGAGAGTGCCACAAAGGTTAGGTTCTGGGTTCGAATCCCGACAACTGCGATGAATGGTTATTATGTTAAAATGCATAGGGTCTCTGCAAGTACCGGCGACGGAGCCCCACTCTCTATCTGTCAGATTGGGATTATAGTCCAATTTACATCCTCCCAACGTACCGTCCGGTCGGGGTTGGGGGCCCTCAGGCAGAGCCGGCTTTGGGCCCTAAGGCAGAGCCGGCTTTGGGCCCTAGGAAGATAGGCAATTGCCTAGGGCACCACTTTGAGAGGGGCACCATTTTTTCCAAAAAAAAACTAGTGTTACTTAGTGGAGTCCTTTTCCTGTCCGGCCACCTCGATTTGAGGTGGTTCCCGGTCGTATTTTTGGCTGCAATTTTTTTGTGTATGTTCCTCATCAAGTCTAGTTCATTCATACCCAATTTGAGCAAAACATTCAATCGAGAAGATCGTTAAATGATTTTTGCATGATAACTGGTCCAGAATATACATATAAACCGCAATTATCATGCAAAAAATCATTTGAGGACCTTCCCGATTGATATTTTTGCTCAATTTTGGTATCGATGAACTAGACTTTATGAAGAAGATACACAAAAAATTTTAGCCAAAAATACGACCGGGAACAACCTCAAAAGGAGGTGGCCGGGCCAGCCTCCTGTCCGGCCTAGCCGGACAGGAACATTCGTATTACTTAGTGTACATATGTATTAATTAAAATGAAAACGTAACATTAGAAACTTTGGAAAAGAAAATCGAATTACCGATTGTGATTTTTCTTTGTAAATTTGCGTTATGAATTTATACTTAAAGTTATTTTTGTTAGAGTTATTCTTAAATTTGATCTTTATAAGTTATATTTATTAATGTATAATAATAACAATATAAACGGAAATTGTCCTAAATATGACTAAAAATGTTTGTATATTTCAAAATAGAATTATCATGTTTTTATTTTCTAAATAGAAGTAATTACTTTCATATTTTGGTAGTACCATACTTAAACATGACAACATTTTCCATGTTTGACAGTAATTATTTCTATTTAGAAAATAAAAACATGATCGTCCTATTTTGGAATTCTCAAACATTTTTACTCCTATATCGAGAATTTTCCTTAATATAAATAATTAGTGCTAAGTTATTATTTTACTGTTTTGCTATGATCGACGGAAGCAATATTATGTGACTTTTGAGAGAAAATTTAAGAAAAAATGAAGTCGTACAATCTTTTGCGGCTTCTATGAATAGGAATGTAAAAAAACCTTATCCTTAGGTATAGAATAGAATTTAGAGAAATATGATAAACACATGTATAAAAATATTGATGTCGAAAATGAAAATAAAAATCACGGTTCATTCTTTGTCTAGGGCACCAAAATTTCCAAAGACGGTCCTACCCTAAGGAATGGGGTGTCATCCTTTTTAAAAAAAATGAGTTCTCACCAAACTTTTGTGACTAACCGATCACAAAAGGCCATGTGGCTTTTCTTCTCCATCAACATAGCTACCAACCTAATCAAATATCCCCAACTCCCTAATTTCATTTATTATTCATTAAATTTAATTTATTGTAAAAAAAAAATTAAACAACAAATTAGATTTGTTTTCCTCTATAAATAGACATCAATGAAGGATATGTTTAGTCACATCGAAATTTACCATTTATTTTCCTTTTTCATCTTAATTTATCTGTTTAGATTATTTTTCCTCGGAAAATGGATCCAACTCGTTCTCTACCTAGATACAATGACGACAATAAATAATTATAGTGGGTCAAATGTGAATTTTTTATTTCTTCTCCAAATTATATAAATTAATAATGGTGGAATATACCAAAAATATGGAGAGACAACCTACAAATTTTAAGTAACCTAGGTCACCATAGTGGGGGGAAAATGTGATATGTTAGAGGGATTAAGTTTTAGAGGGATTAAGTTTTGGTGTGATATGTTATGGGGTCAAAAGTCATAAACAATGTGGATGCTTCAAGTCTAAGGGAATTGTTATGCGCACCGCACCTCCTTATATTACTTTATGTAATAGGGTATTCGGGTTATGACTTTATTGACCTTTTCAATTAAGGACAATTCAATTGAAATTATTTAGTTAAGGCTATGTTTGGCAGATATAAGTCTCTGCCTTCTAGCTTTTGTACTGTTCAAAAAGTCTTTAAAAGCTTCTAGTTTTATGTTTGGCATGACAATTTTTAAGAGCTTTTCAAAAATTAAAAGATCTTTTTTGAGATGCTACCGGGAGTATCATCTGAAAAAAGCTCGTGACTTTTAGTATTAATTAGTCCTAACAGCTTATATACCAAACCGAATTAAATCAAACAGTCATCTTTTTACCAAACAGCTACCACCGTTTCTCTTTAAGATCTTTTCAGTCACTAAAAGATAACACTTATTAAAAAGCTCACAAAAGTATATTTTCAGCTAGTTGTGCCAAACATACCCTAAATAAAAAATTGACACGACAAATACCCAATTACCCATATCATTTACGGAGTTTCAACTTTTAAATTGACTCCTCATCAATAATCGGGAATACCATATTACCCATATCATATACAGAGTTTCAAATTTTAAATTGACTCGTCATCCAATAATTTGTTGTCACATGGCAAAAAAGTCTTCTTTTTATATATTATAAAAATATATCAAACTAAATCATTTTTATATCTTTCATTTGACATCAATATTCGATGTGTAAATTTAAAAAAAAATCCAATCAAGTCTATTTAATGTAATTTGGTAGGCGGCTCGCAAATGTGTAATTTACTATTCTTTTAAGTCTATTCTGGTATGACCAAATTTGTTTAAATCTATATGGATCAAAACCATTAAAATTAAAAATATCATAAACATATCCTAAATCAAACTTAGATAAATAAAGGTATCACTATGATATAGTGACTATGGTGTAAACGTTGAACACAATAAAAATTACTAAAGGTTATCAAGTTACATTTTTGTCAATGACTTTTTATTGGTACTTCCTCCATCCTGTTTAAAGGTTCTCGATTTTCTTATTTAGGTGTCACATTTAAAGGTTCTCATTTCATTTTACGAAATAATTTACTCTTTAATTACACTTTTATTCAAATTTCTCTTTCCTACTCATTACATGTTAAGTTTCATAATTTCCCCTTCTCTAATTCATCTCCATTTAATTACTTTCACTTTATTTGTTTACTTTTCCTAACTTTTGTTTTTCCCCTCTTTTTTACTCAAATTACTTTATTTAACCACTTACCTAAAACATCGTGTCATTTACCCACCGGAACCTTCCCACGGGATGGAGGGAGTAATATTTTAGAAAAAAACTCTCATTTCATTCACATTTTATATATTTTTTTAGATTAGTTCCCTTCTTATAATAGGTCTTTTTCTCACCCTGCTAATTTTTTACTTTACTTTCTGTTTTTCCTTTTCTTACTTTGATTCCACCACTATATATTTTCATCTTTTTGAAAAAATCAAAGGAAACATATAAACAAGTAATCGGGAAAACTTTATAAAAAGAGACTTCAATGAATAGGAATACATAAAAAGGAAAGAAAAAAATGGAGAAGAAAAAAAGGAAAAATAAACGGAAAAAATTCAATAAAAAAACTCTTATGGTAAATGGATCAAGTAATACATAAACAAGGTAAATAAATGAAAATAAAGAAGAAGAAAAAGAAATAAAAGCATTGTGATGATAAAAATAAAACTTTTAGGAACAAAAAATGATACACGAGAACGTTTGGTGAAGATTTGTGAAAGATGAGATTTATGATTTAATGTTTTGCAAATTATTGAAAATAACTTGTAATAGTAGGTCATTAACCGGTCAGAGACCGATGTAAGAAGATGATGTGAAAAAATGGAATTAGTCTTGAATTACCGTTATGTGAGACTATTGTAAGAAGATCGCTAAAAAGTGAGATTATTAATTTCCATTTTCCTATATATAAATAGGTTTAAATAAAAAGTGCAATGCAAATGACGGTCAAAACATCAAAAATCTGTCAAGAAAATTAATGGACATTTAAGAAAATGATGTCTACTTAAAAAAAGGAAACCACGTTTAAGACAGAGTACATAAACTCATAAAAGAGTATGGTCAAGTGGTCAACAAATAAACAAATACTCCATAAAGGGAAGAGGACAGATGTGTCCAGTGTTGTAGAAAAAGAGGTGCGCCCAGCACTTTTGTATTATTAATCAAGGCTAACATGATCCGCTTCCAATTCCATATCAATCGATAAGTGATAACCAAAACGTAGAATCTAATCGGAACTAAATAGATATTATTTGTTGATGAGTTTATTTAAATCAAGAGTTTGAAACCAGGTGGAATAAAAGAATCAAATGTACGCAGTCTTATCCCTGTACTAAAACACAAAGCATAAAGGCTTTCCGGATAACCCATGATGAAAATCACGTCAAAAATTACATGGACTAACTGATGTTTCATATCAAAGAAATGCGAACAGTTTAATGTACCATTTTGCTTTATTCCATTATATTCTCATGTCAAAAATTAGTGAATCTTTGACTTCATTCTTCTCCGGAGGAATCAGAGCTCGACTCAGAGTTTCAAAAGTTCTTAATTACCGGTTTCAAGGCCATAGCAAGGCGCCAAGGCAGCATGTTAGGTCTCAGTCTACCCAAAATTTCATTTTTTATATGATTAGGGTAACCAAATTAGTTAAAGTTTTTCCAAAAAAATGTACCAGCACAGCCCAAACTCCCAAACTATGCCGACGCGGTGCATGTTCATGTTTGAGAATGCCAACGTGCTCGTTTTTTGTTAATATCGAGATGGCCGCAATCCTATTCTGTTCAGAAGTGTACAAGCAAGCTTTTATCAAATTTTAAAGTATTAAATGGACAATATATGAGAATAGAAAGTCTTTTCTGAATCAAAAGTTATTCAAGATTTAAGAGCAGATTGATGAATTCTAGGTACAAGTCTACAACAATATCTATCGACTTTAAGGTGTTCTTTGAGTTTTCATCTAAGTACCATGAACTCCCTGCCAAGCAAAAGTCTCTTCTATTTCACTAGGCATGGGCACGACCTGGTTCTTGGCCGGTTCCGGTCCCAAAAATTGCGACCTAGAACCAGCAGTACCGGTCCCAAAAATTGCAACCCAGCATCGGTCCCCCTATACCCGCCCCCACTCTCGGTTTCAGCCTAGAACCCGAAAATCAGTCCTTGGACCGGGACCTTATCCACCCCTATGCCTCACTAAAGGCACATGCAGAGTGATTGCGTAACACCATCCATTATATTGCCGACAAACACTAAATCAAATGTTTACACAATACAGATTGCTAACATTTGCAGCCAAGATTGCCATAGTTTTTACACATTAAATATATTTAGCAGATGTAGATGTACATTAACCGCATTAGATGAATCCTACCCAACACATCGATAGCCTGCCAACCATTATCCCAAACACTTTCACTCACTTAAATGCCCATTCCTTAGTTCGTGTGGTCAAGAAAACATTTTCCACTCATCTGCTTGCCTGCAAAATGTGTTAGGTTTAGTTTTAAAAAAGGTAGAGAGAATTGAACTAACGGGTCAAGCTCAAGAACATGAAACAACAGGCAAACTAGCGATTTAATCAAAACAATAATTATTAATTTAGCAACATGGTTTACCTTTCCATTCATCCGGATATTCCAAGGATCACTAGTGGATCCATAGACAGGGTCACCAACAACACATGAAGGTTGAGGGACATAGTTTTTCAAAAGTGGAACACCATCTGGTATATAATCATCATCACTGTCATAGCATCTCTCACGATATGGTCCCAAAGCTTTGAGGATCATTGACAGTAACATGCTCAGTCCCTTTATGTGAAAAAACAAGAAACCAAACCGACAGTTGGCAATATAAGATGCTAAAAGACATTTATGGTAAAAAAAAAGAAACTAAGTTGAAATGAGAAAGACGCCTGCTTGAATCATTCTCAAAGGAGAAGCTCTACATATTATTTTTAACTTTTATTATTATTTATTTATCAGAGGTGGGTGGTGACCTGCACTGCAGCCACTGACAAGCCAATCCATTTGCACAAGTCAAAATTTTCTTTGACAAACTTTTTTATCTCATCAAAGTTGCCGGTTGAATCCTCAGGAAAGTCCTGTTCCCACATCAAAGTAGAATACATGAAATACATGATATGTAAAATAATTATGAAGCTATTCATTGCAATACTGGATGTATTAAACTATACGGTAATACGGAGTATATATTTTGTTAAATGATACCTCTTCCCAGTTTTTGTTTAAGAAAACATCTACAGTGACAGCAGCTTCGAACGCAAAAAGTAGAAAGACAAACACCATGTACTACAAATATTAATCAAGGACGACAAATGTCAAATTTGGCATTGAAGTCTCAAGGACAACAAAAACATTACATGGGTCTTTCCAAAGTGAAAGAGAGCATGATTAGGAGGATACAATATACAGACAGCAGCCATTCACAGTTTCTGCAGCAATATGACCTGAGCAAGTGATGAAACACACAGTGATGCCAAGACCAAGAATAGTATAGATGAACCTGGTATTGAAGGTAAAAACAAGATCTTTGTTAACTACTTCATTGAAATCAAACTTAGAAGTACAAATGCAAGTGATGCTTGTAATTGAGAATATTAAGATAATAGCAACTACATGGTATTTGCTTTACAATATATACATATACTCCCTCCGTCCCCCAATTAAGTTACCACTTTCTTTTTTGGGCAGTCCCTAAATTAAGTTCACACTTTCTTACTTTCCTTATTTGGCAAATTATCAAAACAGTGTCAAACAGTGCCAAACAGTGTAAAACAGTGTTTGAACAAGGCAAAACAGTGCACTCCACAATAAAGTCAAATTTATTTTCTTAATACGTGTGAAGTCAAACCGGGAACTTAATTGGGGGACGGAGGGAGTATTAGAAGGATCTGAGGAACTATCATGTTAATTATAACATTCCAACATCAACATGCAAGAAATTGGTCACTTAATTACTTCACAAATGACTTTCAAAAATGAAGAACACGCAAAAAAGGCTTGCATGTCATTGAAATGCACACCATCTGTGATCAAATGATGTCAATTATAAATGGTTCATATTAGTATTTAATGATCAATATAAGAAAACCATCATAGTTGCAGGCAAAAAAGAGTCTCTGTTTAGATGTCTATTGCAAAAAGGTAAATATCCCTCATTTCTTCATTCACCTTATGATTTCAGTTTTCAGAAACCAAACAAAAACTGAAACACATACACACCAAGCATGGGATGTGACGCTACAAAATCCACGCAATATGGGCAAAGACATCTCATTTAAACGAAAAAATGGCATTGCCCCAACAAACACTGGGCAAAACATCGTGGCAAAGAAAAAAGCAAAAAAAAAAATCTGAGAGTAAAATATGACTCGCAAAGAATAAACCTAAACTTCCCCCAAACAATTATACAAAGAAATGATACATACAGGAAAGGACAGATACGCACCAGGGGATAGGGGAGCTATTGGGCCCAAAATACGGGAGAGGAGAAGGGCCGGACATGTGCTTTTGCCAAACTCTGAACATCCAAATGGCGTACATGATCATGGCGATCCCAACAATCCCTAACACAAAGTTGACGAGCTTCAGCATCGACTGGATGCAGCCCCGAGCAAATTTTATGGTCATTTCTGCACTTCGTGGCCGGATGAATGATGAAAGCCGATCCCCTAACCCTAGATCAAATCTTAATCAATTAAGCGTTAGGGATATAGGATTAGGGTTTCAAGATATGGAAATATTATCCGACGTTTCTGTGAGAGTGTAACTACTATGGATTTTCTTTTCGTCGTTCGTCTCCTGGATTTTAGGCCAAGAGGTAAAAAAAATAGTGTCAGCAAGGCAGGAGTGGATTTACTTTTTTGTTTCTTTTTAATTAACTCGTTTGTTTGTACATTTTCAAGAAGAACCTAGGTTATGAGTTAGTGTCACATCTTTATTTAATTTGTGCTTATTAATTTAAGTGATATTTTTTGTAATTTGGAATGGCCGATAGGATTATAATTGCACATATAATAAATTAAGACAAATATATTTTATTCTAGAACATTTTCACATACACTTAATCGTTCGCTAAGAGATTAGTAATAATTAGGGAGTCGTACGCTCGCTCGTTTTGATAATAATTTAGGAACTTGGCGCATGATTGCATGAGAGATCAATCTAATTCCATAAATTACGTCGTGAGAACGGTAAGAATTTAGTATTGACTAACGTTGCTCAATTAAATAATTTTCATGTGATTAAGTCTGATCAATTTCGAAATTTGATTACCCCATAATCAATTTCTATTCCCTTTCGTCATTATTTAGAAAGAACTTTTAAACTTAGCTGCTTATTCGCAGTAGTTAATTTCCCAAAAAATCAAATCTCGCACAATTGCATTTTTACTTATTTATTTTACTCGTTGAATTTATTTAATTCTTGATTCCCTTAAAAAATCAACATAAGCTTGATGATGCATGTTAAATGGATTGAGTTGAAACTCTACAATTAGACAATTAATCGAGATTCAAATCAGCTAATTATTTCTAGACCCAGTAATGAACTCATGATAAGCACATCATCAAAATGATGCTACATATCAATTAATTGTCTAAATTTATCAAATTTCAGCTGAGTGCATCAGTGTAATTTCCAATACTACCTACAAATAATGAAAAGTAAATGCTTAGATTCACCAATCTCTAATCTCATTACAAGTTCAAAGACTTGAAACTATAAAAGGATCTTGACAGACTTGATCAGGCAGCTGCAATTAAATGATGAAAATAAACCTCAAGGAGATATCTTTCTCCCAACTGAACCAAGGTATACACAATTACAAGACAGACAATTGCTCTAATGCTCTCCATTCTTATTCATTGCAATTTCCAGTTTTCCGCAATGGCATCAATGACATTCATCCTATTTTGTTTCAATAATAAATTACTATAGCTCTGCATTAAGAAACTACCATTTCAGATCAATTTGACGCAGAGGATTTGATGGCATCTGCAGCAAATCCACTGCTGAGCAGCCTCTGTACATACTTCCCCAGTATATCCACCTCCAGGTTCACCTTCTGCCCGATTTTCTTTGATGGGATCACTACATTCTGCTGCGTATAAGCAACCAACATGAAGCTGAAGCACTGATCATCATCAAACACATCCACCACCGTCAAGCTAGCCCCGTCCACCGCTATGAACCCTTTCGGCACTATAAACTTCAAAATCTCCTTCGTTGTCTTCACCTTCACCCATAACGAGTCTCCTTCTCTGACCAGTCCAACGATTACTCCGGTCTCGTCGACGTGTCCCTGCACGAAGTGGCCTCCCATACGACTACTCGGCGTCAAAGCCCTCTCCAGATTGACCCGAGATCCGCGCTCCAGTTCTCCCAGTGAGGTCTTCCGCAACGTTTCCGGGGCCAACCCGACCGAGAATTCGGACGATCCGGCGTCGAATTCCGTGACGGTCAAACAAGTCCCGTTGACGGCGATGCTGTCGCCGAGGTGAACGCACTCGAGGACGGTTTTTGCCCCGATTTTCATGAAGAAACTGTCGGGATCTGAGTGGCCTATGTGCCGGACTTCTCCAATCTCTTCGACTATGCCGGTGAAGAGGGATGTGATTGTGGCGGTTCTGGCGCGGGGTTTGGTGGATCGGAGGGAAAGGGTGAAGGGGGGTTTGAGAGGGAGGGAGGAAGTGTTGTTGTTGAGGGTAAGCGATGGACGCCATTGGTGGGATCCGATTATTGCTACACAAGATTTTGGAGCTTTGATTAGACTATAGGGTTTGGAGGTAGGGATCAACGCGACAGTGAAGGAAGCTGCTGCCATTTTCTGGTCGCCTTACAAGCCAGTTAAATTTTACTACGTACTACTTATAAAAAGAAACCAAAATGCAATTTGTTTGGAAATTGTCTGGTATATCATATGTCTACAAAATGTGTGTACCAAACATTGCTCAACAAAGAAAACGACTAGGATGTGTGTAACCCTTTTCTTATACTTAGGCATGACAATGGGTCGGGTCGGGTCGGGGCGGGGCGGGTACTACAAAACGCAGACTCACTCGGTGACCTGCACGGGTCCAAACTTGTTGACTCATGAATCGTCCCGTCGTAACCTAATTACCTAGTATTACGTATGCGTTTTTATTTGTGAAAAGTTGTTACCAATTGAATCTACATAAAGTATATCTTTAAATAATTATTAAAAATTAATATATTAAATCAATTTGAAAAGTTAAGGAAAAATTACTTAGACTTGAATAGTTAATCCATATATAAAGAAGACATTGATATATATTGATATATTTTAAGATCAAAGAATTTATGATGTATTGTATACACACATATGTATGTTGAAGTATATTTGTAGTATAATTTATGAAAAAGTATGTATATACTTATATATTGAGCGGGGCGGGGTGGGGCGGCACGGGTCGATACTAATACTCGGACCCGCCCCCATTGTATAAGCGGGGCGGGCCGGAGCCGCCCCATTTGCAAGACGGGGCGGGCCAGACCCGTCCCAAATATCTCAGGCCACGGCGGGTCATTGCGGGCCGGTTTTTTTTTACATCCCTACTTATACTTCTTTCGTCGCTTAAAACTAGACCAAGTTTGATCGACACGTGATTAATAAAGTAAAGTTTGTGTGGTTGAGTTTTGTGTGGATGATGTGTGGTTGAATTTTGTGCACATGAGAGAGTATTAATCAGAACCACAAATTTCTTTACTTGCAAGGGAAAGCGACTGAGGTAGTGGAATAGCCAACAAGAAAAATTGACAAAGTTTTAAGAGACGAAATGAGTACTGAGTACATAGTAATAGTAAGAAAACGGCAACACTTGTTTTAATTATCGAAGTGTTTTTTTGTATAAAAAGTTACCAGTTTATATAGAGTAGTGTACCCTCATATGAGTATATCAGTTAGATATTACTCACTTCATCCCGTTAAGAGTGTTTCATCTTTCTTTTTCATTCTACCCTGTTAAGATTGTCTCATATCAAATTTGACAAAATTTGTGTAGGTCTAAATCATCCACCCGTTATTATTACTTTATCAGTTCAATACTTCAATATCAACCACATAAATCCACTTTTTTAACAAACGCACATCCTCCTCATATATCAATGTTAGAGAGACAGTGGTAATACTTAGGTATTCAACTCATTTATTTTAATTATTGTTGATGACACTAATCAATCTATGACATGAGGAGGCAGTGACATTTGTCCCTTAACAGCTTAGTCATAAATCTAACACTAAACTCGTTTATTTTAATTATTACACAATTCAACTCGATCCCCTTAACCCATCAAGTGATCACCACCTGTGAGCATCATTGACCATCACCCCGCTTGTTTTTGTGACAAGCTCTCTGAGTCCAGTGACCTATGTCACGGACTTATTCTCGAACCCGTGCGGCACTAGCAACACTCACTCAAACTATGCTAGTCAGCCTAACTCTTGCGGAAACTAGGACACCGATAGTGGAGAAACTTGTATAAAGGCTTTATTGCTCTCAAGCTTTCGATGATACAAATGAGCCAGCCATGAGGGGTATTTATACTTATCCTCCTCCTCAATGGACGGCTTAGATCTACTTGATCTAACGGCTACAATTGAATTCTAGAGTATTCTATACAACTCTATGAGATTCTAGAGTATTCTACTCTATTCTATACAGGGGTACACTTATCTACATGAGTCTAGAAGGTTCTCTTAGCCTCCAGGATTCTGCCCCTCTCTCTTAGGCATCTCTAGACTTCAACTCGCCTCCAGGCCTCGTTATGCCGCGGCCTATGCCACTTAATGCCGCGGCGTTCAGGAGAGTCGTGACATTCTCCCCCACTCAATCTCACGACGTCCTCGTCGTGGTCTTCCTGTAAGCCTCTATCAAACCCTTGTAGTTCCACAAGGTTAACTCGTGTTCCCAACTTGCCTCGCTGTCCGGAGCATCCTTCCACTTGATGAAGTACTCCACGTAGCTCGGATGTGCGCCTCTCCTCGGAATGACTCTATGAGCCAATATCTCTCCAACCTCGCGCTCGGGAACCTTTGTTATAGCTGTCGGTGCTCTCTTCGAAATGCCCCTACTCGGATCCTCCTTGTCTTCCTTGTAGGGCTTAAGCAAGCTCACGTGAAACACCGGATAAATCTCCAAGTGTGAGGGTAAGGTCAAGCGATAGGCAAGCTTACCAACCCGCTTCTCTATGGGAAACGGACCCTCATATCGCCGCACCAGCCCCTTGTGCAGCTTAGCAAACGTATGCTTCTGGTGGGAAAGGAGCTTCACTAGTACCAAGTCTCCTTCCTCAAACTCCAAGTCTCTCCTCTTAGCGTCGGCCCACTTCTTCATCTTTTTCGAGGCCTTAGCTAAGTATGCCCTCGCCATGTCAGCCTTCTCATGCCATCCCTTGGCAAACTTGAATGCGGATGGACTCGGACCTCGATATCCCACGGCCAAAGAGTGCGGAGTAGCCGGCTGCTGCCCCGTGGCAATCTCGAACGGACTTGCCCCCGTCGACTCACTCCTTTGCAAATTATATGAGAATTGAGCTATGTCAAGCAACTTTGCCCAATCCCTCTGGTTTGCACTCACGTAATGCCTTAAGTACAGCTCCAACAAGGCATTAACCCTCTCGGTTTGGCCGTCGGTTTGGGGGTGAAAGCTCGTAGAGAAGTTAAGCTCGGACCCCATTATCTTGAACAGCTCCATCCAAAACTTCCCGGTAAAACGGGTATCTCGGTCGCTTACGATGGTCTTCGGTATGCCCCAATACTTTACCACATGCTTGAAGAATAAGCGTGCAGCATCTTCGGCGGTGAACTTCGTAGGGACAGGAATGAACACTCCATACTTACTAAACCGATCCACCACGACCATGATGTTCCCACACCCCTCGGACTTAGGCAAACATGTGATGAAGTCCATAGATATGCTCTCCCACGGCTTCTCTGGTGTGGGCAACGGCTCCAGCAACCCTGCTGGCTGTTGTTGATCCACCTTGTCTTGTTGGCACACAAGACAAGTATTCACATACAACTCCACCTCTTCCTTCATTTGGGGCCAATAGTACGCACGTTCTATCAGTGCCATCGTGCGTCTAATTCCGGGATGTCCAGCCCATCTCGAATCATGGCATTCCTTGATGATCTCTTTCCTCAATCCTTGCCACTTCGGCACATAGATCCGATCTCCCTTGGTCATGAGCAACCCCTCTCTAAGCCAAAACTGGCGTGTCTTCCCTCGACTTGTCAACTCCATCAAACTCTTGGCCTTCGGGTCATGCTCCAGTCCCTCCTTGACTCGATCCACCAAAGGAAAACTCGGGCTTGTGATGGCAGCTAGCTCGGCCTTCCTACTCAATGCGTCAGCCACATTGTTCGTCTTCCCCGGCTTATACTCCATCACAAAGTCAAACTCTGCAAGAAAGTCTTGCCACCTTGCTTGCTTCGGCGTCAACTTCTTTTGATTGAGGAAATAACTTGTTGCCACGTTGTCCGTCTTCACCACGAACTTGGACCCCAACAAGTAGTGCCTCCACGTCCTCAAGCAATGCACCACGGCTGTCATTTCTTTCTCTTGGACCGTATAGCGGCGCTCGGTGTCATTCAGCTTGCGGCTCTCATAAGCAATGGGATGCCCTTCTTGCATCAATACTCCTCCTAGAGCAAAATCTGAGGCATCGGTCTGGACTTCATACGGCTTTCTGTGATCGGGGAGTGCTAGGACAGGCTCCTCGGTCACAATTCTCTTCAACTCCTCAAATGCATGTTGGCACCTCTCGTCCCACTTCCATGCAACTTTCTTCTTCAACAGATCAGTGAGTGGAGATGCTATAGAAGAATAGCCTTGAATGAACCGTCGGTAATAGTTTGCTAGTCCAAGAAAGGATCGTAACTCGGTCACCTTCTTGGGCGGCTCCCATCCGCATATTGCCTCGATCTTCACCTTATCCATCCGGATCTTGCCCCCTCCAACAATGTGCCCAAGGAACGTCACCTCCTTTTGAGCAAAGGCACATTTCTCCTTCTTCACATAGAGCTCGTTCTCCCTCAACTTCTGAAACACTTGCCTTAGGTGATCAATGTGCTCCTCCAAAGTCTTACTATAGATGACTATGTCATCCAAGTAAACCACCACGAACTTGTCCAAGAACGGCTCAAATACCCGATTCATGAGGGTGCAAAACGTAGCTGGAGCATTCGTGAGTCCGAATGGCATTACAAGGAATTGGAAGGAACCATACCTTGTCACACATGTGGTCTTCGGCTCATCTCCTTCGGCAATCCTTACTTGATAGTAGCCCGACCTCAAGTCCAACTTTGAGAACCACTTTGCTCCTCCAAGCTGATCGAACAAGTCCGCAATGAGTGGAATCGGATACTTGTTCTTCACCGTAATCTTGTTTAGCGCCCTATAGTCGATGCACATACGCAATGACCCATCATGCTTCTTCTGGAACAACACGGGTGCGCCATAGGGTGCCTTGGATGGTTGGATGTATCCCGCATCCAACAAGTCCTTCAACTGCCTCTTCATTTCTTCTAACTCTGGTGGGGCCATCCTATATGGCACACCTGCTGGTGGTGTAGACCCGGGGATCAACTCGATCTTGTGGTCCACATCTCTCTTGGGCGGAAGTCTCTTCGGCAACTCAGACGGCATCACGTCCTTGAACTCCACGAGCACCTTGGCCACTCCCTCCGGCATACCACTTGTCGGCACTGGTTCCTCCTTCAAGATGGCTAGGTATGTAGGTTGCCGCTTCCTCATGCCCTTGGCAAGTTGCAAGGCCGAGATTTGCTTGGACTGAATCCTCTCCTCCCGGGATAGCTTCACCATGCAAGTCTCGCCCTCCTTCATTATGCACATAGTGTTGGCAAACGGAATCGGTATTGCCTTCACCGAATCCATAAACTCCATGCCCAACACGATAGGATAGTCGTCCATAGGAACGACCGAAAAATCAATTAAGCCACTCCACTCGCCCAAGGTAACCCTAACCCCACGAGCCACTCCATAGATTGATTTAGGTTGCGAGTTGACAGCTTTCAACCAACCATGGTCTTCAACATAGGGGATGCCCAATCTCTTTGCCTCCTTAACTTCTAAGAAGTTGTGAGAAGCACCAGTGTCAACAAGGGCTTTAGTAGTTTGTCCACGTACCTTAGCTTCCACGAACAAACGCCCCTTCTTCTCCGT